AGAGAGAGAGAGAGAGAGAGAGAGAGAGAGAGAGAGAGAGAGAGAGAGAGAGAGAGAGAGAGAGAGAGAGGGGTCTCCTCTCTCTTTCGCCCCCTCCTCTCTACCACAGCCAAGGCTGCGGCATGGAATCACTTGTTGCTTAAAAAGCGTATTTACCCACCAACATTTCTGGAAAGCAAGGGGTAGAAAGAGAGCCCCTGAAGAGAGGATGGCAGTGGCAACAACAAAAGTGGAGGGGGCCATCTTACCTCATAGATATGTACTGATAACATTCCACATCCCCGACCGTCTCTTTCCACTTCATCGTTTTTACAACAAGGACAGGTGATACACCTCCCCGTGCAGAGCTCTGGCTGTCCTTCGCGGGTGACTGAATCACAGGCACAGAAAGATGACCTTTTGCGTCACTAGTGCTTCCTTTCATTCCCTGCCCCCTTTCCAACCCTCCTGTGTTTGCCCTCACCTCCTCTACTTCCAACTTCCCCTTACTACCTCCTCCTCCTCCTCCTCCTCCTTCTCCCCCTCCCCCCGGTCCAGCTCCAGCCGCTGTTGCTCCTGCTTTTTCAACCCATATGGGCCAAACTGACAAGCACTTGGTTCGCCCAAACTGGAGAGGGTTTGTTGGTGAAAGCATGACAGGGTACACTGTGTCCCTGAGCTGGTTGTCGAGCTGCACACTTCCGATCTGCAAATTTGATACTCTCTCATGCTGCCCTTGAGACACAGCAAGCTGCACATCCGTAGCCGAAACATAGAGAAGCTCCTGCAATGCAGATTCATCGAATGTATTATTGATCTCCAGATTCTCCACTTCTCAAGTTCAGAAACATTTTTTGAAATATAGACTCGTGTTTGAGTCCATCCGAATGGAACTAGATGAATGAAATTTCAAATTTTTTAGTTTTCTGAATTACCTGGGGCTGGTTAGTTCAACAATAATATCTGGAGGCAAATGCCCTTTTCCAAAAATGGAAAAAAAGCAGTTCGGAAATTTATGTACTTGACTGATGGCTGAAAACAGACCAATCCAGTCAGATAAAAAAAATAAATAAAAAAATCCCTGTCAGGAGCTACCCCCCTTTTAAAAACGAGAAACAATAGCTTAGAACTTCAGAGAAGAAATTTGCAGCTCCACAGGCTTGTAGTGGTTAAGAAACTTGGCTCTTGTGGCTGAGGGCACCGGTTTAATGATGAGCCTGCACGGAAGAGGTCCGAGGCAGAAAGTGCTGACTTTCCTTTCTGGGGAGCATCCGTCCCGGCTTCTTTTCCATTCTGGGGAGCATCAGATGTGGTTCCTTTTCCACCGGCAAATCCTGCTCTTTCTTCACAAAGTTTCAGCTTGATGAGATGTGCTACTCCATACCATACGCTATCAATTGGACAATCAAACACTCGCGTGAGAGAAGCAATCAATCACATATGTCAAAGTATACATGGTACACGAAGGTACAAGATTGCATCGTTGGCAGGTATGGCACCCCGACCGGTTTTGACGGCCGGGAGATCAACCAGACTTCGACCCTCTGCAACTCTAAACTTCCACTTCCCCACCTCCGCCGTTAGGTCCGCCAACATCTCCAGAAACCGTAGTGGTTGTCCGCCAACATCTCCGGAAATGGCAGCGGTCATCGCGGCGTAGGACCCGGAAGTATCTTGGTTTCTTTACAAAACCCAGTTTCGAACTTTCGAGCCTTACTTTTTTTACCAAAACTATCTCGGTTTCTTTACAAGACAAAAAAAAAAAAAGAAAACGAAAATTATGTATTAGAAAGTTACAGAAACAAGGAAAATACTACATGTACACGGTTTCCAGCCTGTAATAAAAGTTTTACTTATGCCAACAAAGAAAACAGAAACCTACTAGCGACGTGAAGGATCCAGGAAGCTGACCTCTGATGCGCTGTCCACAAGCGATACACCGACAAAAGCCAGATAAAGATCGACTCTCCACAGCGTGTCAGATGGCTGCAGCTCCACCTCCGATGCCTCCATCTGTCTAGGCAGTCCGACATGCTTCTTTCCGTAGTCTGGAAGCTCATGCACACCAGCATCTATGACAGTCAAAACCTGCAAGAGCATTTGTCAAATTAGAAGCCCACATACTTCACTTCGTATCTTTCAACTACAAACATTTAGCTGCAAAACTCTTATGTTAAAGTTGAGTGCTGAAATCATGTGAAACTCACTGAAATGTGCATTTCAAAACTCCTGCTGCCCATCACGGAACTTTTTAAAAGAAGAGGAAACAAACACCGTCAATTTCCCTTTTCTTTTTTTTTTCTTTTTTTTTTTTGCATAAAACAGGTCCCTATGGCCCTGGCTCCATTGCCATTCTGGGGAGCATCAGTCCGGTTCCTATTCCACCGGCAAGTCGGAATAAAATATTACATCATGATAAATGATAAAAGAGCAAGAAAGGTAAAAGAAGCTACGGGAGATGCAATCGTGGAATTTGCCCTTCAATATCACGTGGCCTGTGATGGATCTTGTCCATCTGCTGGCTGGGATCTCGGCCTTCTACACTCTGCTTCTGTCAGTCTTCCTACCGTATGCAAAAGTATCTCTGCTACTTTGCCCCCTGCCAGCCACACCTTAGTCAATTTTGCCTTGATTCTTCTCTGTTGCTCTTCGTCATCTGGCACGGAGTGTCTCGTCTTATGTAACTTTACACAGAATCTCTGCCTGAATCAAGGTCCTTTCCTTTCTCTTACAATATACAAAGTTTGATTACCACTTCGTCACAGATGTTCAGTGCTTGTGGGACCCCGAGTACTGGGGGAGAAATAACAAATACTCCTGGGAGATTTTTGAAATAACATCCCTGCCACTGTCAAAAGGATCAAACCCATGGTCAATCCCATGATTTTTGAAAAGGTAAAGAAAGGAGGAGGAGGAGGAGGAGGAGGAGGAGGAGGAGGAGGAGAAGAAGAAGACGAAGACGAAGACGACGACGACGACACGACGACGACGACGACGACGACGACAACGACGACGACGACGACGACGACGACAACGACGACGACGACGAAGAAGAAGAAGAAGAAGAAGAAGAAGAAGAAGAAGAAGAAGAAGAAGAAGAAGAAGAAGAGGAAGAAGAAGACGAAGACGACGACGACGACGAAGAAGAAGAAGAAGAAGAAGAAGAAG